GCCATCATACATCCTTTTGGGGATATTCCAACTGTTAGGTCTCAGTACCAGTGAAACAGCTGAAAATTTGCATTTCAATTTCATGAATTTCATTTCTCTACTTTGGACGCTTATGCCTTCATCCAATGTTGGTTACTTTTGAGAGGTTTATCGCCATCAAAATTACGTCGCACTACCCAAACAGTGTCACTGATAAGAAAGTAACGATAGCACTGATTGCAGTTTGGATCATTGCCTTCGTGTGTAGAATGTTTGAGGCCTTAGAGATTTATCTAATATTTTATTCTAAAGCAAGCCTTGTCGCTATTTTGTGAATCGTTTTCGTTGCCATCGCATATGTGATTTGATATCATTAAACGTGTCGACATCAAAGGAGGATAAAAGTACAACAACTGCCCCAAGAGGAGGTGGAAAGATTTACCAAAGAAGACGAGGCGATTATGACAACTGTGTTTGCAATTGGTGCTGTTATTTTTGGCCTTCCTCAAGTTTCTTTGTGTCTCATCATTTTAGCTACAGGCCATTGTAGCTTTTGCCCCATCAACGGACCAATGTGGCAATTCTTTGCCATGCCACCCACACACAACCCCGAATTCCTCCAATAGCTCTGACAAAGGGCTAACGCCCAAAAAGTCAGCTTTTGAACTCTTTTCGGTGGCTAACTCAGTTGATAATACTAAATTAGCATGCTAAACTCGTATGTAAATCCATTGATCTACCGCTGGAGGCAAAAAGAAATGAGAAAGCACGTTCTTACACCTTGTACAGGAAGAACCCAGCTCGTGCATCCAGCCATCCAGCAAAGAAGGAGAATATGGCAGAAAGACTGAAAAAAAAGGTCCTTGTCGTTGGTTTATGTGACAATATATTTTTTGTTAGGAGTGTTTATTCGTATATTGCGCGCAAAATCTGATTCTTAAAAGGACTATTTGAACCCACGGAAAAAAATCTTTGCAAGAAGGGTACATCTTTAGTAATAAGCCTCAGCCTATTTTTTCTTTAGCAAAAAGAGCTACGGAGTAATGATTGCAATTGAGTTTTTCTTATATTTGTTTAAGATACGTAGAAATGTTTCGTTCTTGTCTCATGGTCGACATAGGAATTAGGTAATTGAATTGAAATCTCCTTATGATTTCATCAAACATATAAAGCAGTGACAATGCTGGGAACTTGTATTGACATCATCATACTCCCGTCAATATTTAACGTTGTTCAATTACGTTCTTCGGGGCTGTAACTAAACTTATCCAATTTCAAATTGACTTGGGGAGTTACCCTCCTTTAGTCGATGCACGACCTGGTTCTCATTCTCGATACTAACTTCCTAAGCGCCCTATTTTCTTTGGTTCATCTTTCCATTTCTTTTTAATCGGTTCCTGTGCTTTTATCTTCCTTTGTTGCTGTTATGCGAAGTCGTCCACTGAACAAGAATAACTGGTTGTAGATGCTAAAAGTGTCATCAACCAAATTCACTGGGAACTTTTCGGCTCCTTTCAAATCTTGCGCACGCTTTGAGTTTAGTCAATCGCTGAGAAAAAGTAACGCTGTGATGTAAAATGCCGTAATAATTCTGGCCATGCATGCTTGAAATGGCACCTCGTGCTAAGGGGCAGGTGATAACAAAGTTATCTCGACATGAAGAGTTACTAGATCTGATAATTATGCGATCATGATTGACACTATATTTCTTCTCTATATATAATAATGTGTTTAAAGAGACAGATGAGAACTTCCTGATGTGTTTTCAATCTTTGAAATAATAATAATAAAAACAAAAACAAAAACCTCTAACAGGCTCAGCAAAAGGTAGTGTATCAATTTTTTGATGCAATATTAACCGTCCTCAACCGCGCTCTACATATTTTCTTTTTTTTTTTTTTAACCTCCTATCCTGTATTATGGAAGAAACATGCAAAGTATAAAACTATGACATCGAAGAAGAGACGGGTGTCGAATAAATTGGTATTTTTTGATGAAAATCTTCGTGGACGAACCTAAAGAGGAATAATATTCTTGACAATAAAAAACCTAAATGCAAATAACTGACTTTAAATTAAGCCCATAAAACCAAAGTAAGATAATAAACTAACAGCTAATACTTTTCTTCTAATATAGTTTTTTAATTAGGATAAGAAGCCATGTAACTATAAATATCTATATGGTTGTGTAGGGCGAATCAATTTCCTAAATAACAAGGTATATGAAGAAACGAGTAGGCTACTATAAGTTACAGAGACCACTTCAATGGGCTGAAACCATTTTTGAACTAGTGATTAATAAAAAGTCGGCAGTGATTTTAATTATTTTGGATTAAGAATGATATCTGGGCCGAGCTTGAAGGAGATTCATTTGATAAGGCGGCGAAGAAAGTTCCCACGTAAACTTCTTTTGTGGTGTTGTCCTTAAACTACTTACTATTCAAAGCTTAGCTTTTCGCTGCCTTCTCCCTTCTCGTGCAAGAATAATAATAATCTGTTGAAAACATTAATTTTAGCAATAGAGCAGATACAAAACAGCAATAGAAGTCATGAGTTCATCTCACAGACTTAGTTGACTTACAATAATCTACCAACTCGACATGGTGAATTTTTCAAAGCTTAGCTTTTGGCTGCCTTTTCCCTTTTAGTGCAAGAATAATAATCTGTTGGAAACATTTGCACTTTTATTTTTAGCGATAGATCAGATACAAAACAGCAATAGAAGTCAAGAGTTCATCCCAAAGACTTAGTTGACTTACAATAATCTACCAACTCGACATGGTGAATTTTTCTTTGGCTAGTTTTTAGAAACGCTTTCAGACTGATAAAAAATTTCTTATGCCCCATTTTATATTTACATAGGTATCCGCTAACGTTCTGATAATTTTCCTAAACAGAATCAATATTTTGAATAATCAAAAATACAAAAATCAGAATTAGGAGTTTATAGGAGAGCCTCATAAATTGTTGAATGCCTAATCAATAGTGTTGTTAGCTTCATAAAGAGTTTCATTTGTCATAGGGAAAGTACATCGTAAAGCATTTGCGCTATTGAACAAATCTCTCGAGATAATTTCCCCCTTCAATATTACCACGATAACGTAATTAAAATATTGCTGATAGCATTTTCGAAAGTGTATGATTGTTTATCAGATATGCATACCATCAATTGTAATACGGCAGACATGGGAGATCCGTGCGTCAGGTTTTGTGACGAATTGAACTACATTCGATTTTGGTTGGGTTGATATGTCATGAAACTCTCTCATTAATGTTAGTTTTATAGCCATTCCCAACAGATGTTGGAGTTCCAAACGCCATGAATGTAACACACTGCATGGGGATGCAAAGAAAAAAATACTTTGCGACAACGGCTAAATTTTCAATAATTTGAAATTAGCAGACTGAATTCGGACTTCGGAACTGACCTTCCGAATGCATTTTGTATTTCAACCATGGAGAAACTGAAATTGGTCTATAAACTTAAATAAAAATAAGTCGTTAAATCTTTAAAACACGATAAACAAGTGGCTGTGGGCATACATGTCTGAAACAAGAAACTTAAAACTGAATTAATCATACAATTAGAAATTGAAATACGTGAGAAAATATCAAGTTAAACCACATGCACACTAAAATGGAGCTAGTGGATAAAAGCCTCCCAAAAACATCTAAAATCCAGCGAAATGATACAAACTGTGCGGTTGGTATCAATAACGTATCCAACTCAACACATCAAACTTCTTCGAGTTTCATTTGCGAACGCTATAACGATGACCAGCATAGATGGCGACACAGTAATATTCCCACCGAATGTTAATTGCATTATCAGTATTAGCATTAACAGTATCGCCTGTCCTTTCACAGTTCTGCTTAACGTGCTGGTAATTATAGTCGTCAAAAAAAGACCACGACTCCGAACTAACAACAAAATCTTACTGGCCTGTTTAGTGGTGACTGACGCATTAACTGGTCTCTTTGGTCAACCGTTATATGTGTTGTGGAGGATATTCCTAATATTTGGCCTCAGTAGCAGTTAAATACTTGAAAATGTTTGTGTCTGTGTTGTGACTACACTTTCGTCTGCTTCATACCTCCATTTGATGTTGGTTACTTTCGAGAGGCTCATAGCGATCAAATATGCGATGCGCTATTCAAACGTTGTAACTCATAACAAACTGAAGATAGCAGTGTTAGCAATTTGGATCATTGGTTTCGTATGTGGTACTTTATGTGTTAAAAATGTACCTAGCTTTGAATTGTATCAAAAGCCTCATCTCAATTTCATGTATCGTGCTCGTTGCCTTCGCATATGTGATTTTGTATCATGAAACCCGCCGCCATCGAAGGAAGATAAAAACACAGCAACTGCCCCAAGAAGAAGTGGAAAGATCTACCAAAGAGAGCAAGGCACTTAAGACAACAGTGTTTGTAATTAGTGCTGTTATTGTGAGCCTTCTTCCAGCTGGTTTCTGTTTCATCGGTTTAGCTACAGGCCTTTTTGATACTTGCCCAATCGATGAATCAATCTGGCAAACTTGCAGCATACTAAACTCGTTTGTTAATCCACTGATCTACTGCTGGAGACAAAACGAAATGAGAAAGCTCGTATTTAAAATAGTGAAGTAGGGTATTATGGCAGAAAACCAGAAAAAAAACTTGTTAATGTAAACTTTTCTGTCGCATTTTAAACTCACTCAATAAACAAACTCCTTAGTTATTGCTCTATATTATAATCGTATTAGTCACTTATGACACGACACCTCTGTAGGCTGAGAGTTGATTTCCAAACTCAGTTCTGAAGTCTTAAATTGAAGTTATAGCTTAAAGTCACCAGGGAAGTCACGTAATTTTCTTTATATTCCTGAGAAGTATATTTAAACATCGCCTCAATACCTGAGAGGCGAAACCCCCATGTCAGCCGTACTGATTTATATCATGCATTACCGCGAAACTATTAGCAATATATCAATTGATGCTATTGTTATCAATATTAGGGTAAAGTTATGTCAAGAGATTACTTCAATTATTCAAAGGGCGAACGATGCTCTTTTCAGTTTCCTAATGACACTTTCTATGAACGTGATAGCAGCCCTTGAACAAGATAGTAGCCTTTGAACAAGATAGCAGCCCTCTTTTCAATTTACCAATGACACTTTTCATGAACGTGATAGCAGCCCTTGAACAAGATAGTAACTCTTCAAAGACATTAAGTTCGCCTTTAAGGTCCGTATTCTGATTATTTTTCCGAAAAAAGGTAAGTCAGAAATTGAAATGAGAGGAAACATATGTTAAATAAGAAATTGAAAATCAGTTCATCAGTCTCTGCAAGAAATAAACATCTCTCATGCTTAGAGAATTGCCAACTTCTGCACATATACAGTGAGGATCAGGAAATTTCTCCATGCCACTGGATCAAAAAGCGGTTTAACATAGCAGATGTTTGCGTCAATACTTCGTTGATGAGACAAATATTAGAAAGGCCTGTAGCTAAAACGATCAGACAGAACCCATGTGGGAGAAGGCGGATAAAAAAAAAATACCAACCACAAACACAGTTGTCTTAAGCGACGTGTTCTTTTTGGTTAATATTTATATTTAATTCCTCTCAGGGAAGTTGCTGTACTGTTATCTTCCTTTGGTGTCGACGCGTTTCATGATAATAAATCCACTTAAACACACTGTAAACCCGGCACAAGAGGGCAATGATCCAAACTATTATTAGTTATACGTCCTAGTGGCGTATCGTAAATTTGAACGCTATGAGACTCTCGAAGGCAACCAAAATCAAATAAAGTGATGGAGCCATAATCAATACTGCAATAAAAGTATAATGGACATTTTCAACCGTAACACTACCTCTGAGATAAAATAATAGGAACAGTCCCCACACTATGTACGATGGTTGATCAAGAAAACAGGCCAGCAAGAGGTTGCTGTTAGTTCAGAGTCGTGGTCTTCTCTTCACGGCCATTAACATCAGCACGTTGAGTAGAGCTGTAAAGGGACAAGTGACAGTGTAGATTATGGTACCAATGACATAACTAACCAGAACAGGATTATTTGCTGTGTTGTCCTCTCTACTGGCTTTATTTGAAGCGTTTGTTAAACTCGCTCAAGAGAAGTTTGCCGTGTTGAGCTGGAAGCGTACTGCAAGTCAATTGATTTTTATATAATATTTACTACTGATTTTGACTAAAAGTGCTTATATTCAAAACGAAGGGAGAAGAAGGCGGAGGAAATTTGGTTCTTTAACCGGAAAGCAGTTTAAGCTTCAACTAAGAGCGACCTCTTGGCCCATACTTTATATAATAATAACAGTTTATTAAACTCTCTTGCAGTAACTTTCTGAATTAACGATTATAATACAAGGAAAACTTAATGAAGTCAACTATGTATACATTAAGTACAAATTATATACACCACACCAGAATACGCATCACATTTGTTAAAAATCAATCAAAATCAATTCTTCTCCAACAGTGATTAAAGTCACTTGGAATTTTTAGGTGATGCCAAATTTGTGTTCATTACGGCCTTCGCGCCTCGCGAGCCCAATTTTAGTGATTGCGATAGCAAGGAGTAGCTTGCTTTTCACGACACAAAGCTAGCATGTTTTAGCTTCACAGCGCTAAATGAATATTCCGTAGTTGTAGAGCTTTTTATTTGTCGTCAGCCAACTAAAATTTGCTTTTAAAGAAAAAAATCAATCTGTAGATTCATTTTAATCAGAGTACAGGCTTTGATTGACCAAGGGTCGTGTCATATCATATCGCGCGAGGTGATGCTAGCAGGAGCGCAGAATTTCAAAATGGATGCCTCGCGTATTGTCAGTGTTACCGAGTAACTGATGAACGTGATAAAGAAAGTTCAATTCCGAAGAGTGCAAGAGATTTGGGCTAACACTTTCAAAACAATTACATGACGTTTTTGTTGATTGAATTAGATGAATCTGTTAAATTCTTGTGGAAACTGGCTCTTTATCTCGCTACGAGTAATCGAAAAAATTGAAACAGAATGGATTCAGCAACCGAAAACAAATATTTACAACACAATTCGAAAGCATCTAAGCGGTTATACTGAAAACAAAAATTCGCCTTAGGCTCAGTGAATATTGTCGAATAATCTATAATCCACTTGTTAATCCAATGATCTACTACTCCTCTATTTGCTTTGGTTTTTTTTTGTCTCACTTAACCTCGTTCTTAGTCTAGCAACACTTACATTTTGTGATTTCAGGCAAAATTGGCGACTGTATTTATCAATTACTGTAATAAATGTGAGAAAAAAACTAAAATGGAAGCATTTACACTCAAATGTGGTGTTGCATCAAGCTGCTCAAAAAAAGGATAAAAATTCAAAGAATCGATTTATGGGATTGAGTTATCCTCTTTAGGCTTTAAATTCGCCTTAACCGATCAAATTAACAACCGTATTAATTCAAGAAATGGTAATCACTACTATTCAAACTGGAGAAAATCCAGAGTGGAGCCACATGCACTTTAAAGTGGAGTGGGTTGCTCAAAGTACTCAAAAAAAAATCTTAAATCCAAACATATTGATCCATACGTTTCAATTGATCTCCGTAAGGAATCCAACTCAGCAAATCACGTTTCTGTGCTCTTTTTTTTACAAACTCTAAAGATGGCAAGCAACGAAGGTGACAGAGTAAATGTCCCACAAGAGGTTAGTTACATTATCGCTATTATCATTGGCAGCGACACTTACCCATTCACAGTTCTGCTTAACTTGCTAGTGATAATGGCTGTGAAAACAGGACCACAGCTACATCTTGGTGGCCTGTTTAGTAGTGACTGACACATTAACTGGTCTTCTTGACCAGTCATCATAGATCCTGTGGAGGATATTCCAATTGTTAGTTCTCCGTACCAGTGAAACAGCTGAAAATTTGCATTTCAATTTCATGTCTCTACCTTGGACGCTTCATGCCTTCATCCAATGTGGGTTACTTTTGAGAGATTTATCGCCATCAAATGTACGTCGCACTACCCAAACAGTGTCACATAGGAAAATAACGATAGCACTGATTGCAGTTTAGATCATTGCCTTCGTGTGTAGAATGTTTGAGGCCTTAGAGATGTATCTAATATTTTATTCTGAAGGAATATTTGTGAATCCTTTTCGTTGCGTTTGTATATGTGATTTTACATCATGAAACGTGTCGACATCAAAGGAGGATAAAAGCACAAAAACTGCCCCAAGAGGAGGTGGAAAGATTTACCAAGGAAGACGAGGCGATTATGACAACTGTGTTTGTAATTGGTGCTGTTATTGTTTGCCTTCTTCAAGTTTGTTTGTGTCTCATCATTTTAGCGACAGGTCTTTGTAGCTTTTGCCCCATAAACGGACCAATTTGGTAAATCTGTGCCATGCTACCCACACACAACCCAGAATTCCTCCAATCACACTGACGAGAGGCTAACGCTCGAAACGTCAGCTTTTGAACTCTACGGTGGCCAGCTTAGTTGATAATACTAACTTAGCATGCTAAAATCGTTTGTAAATCCATTAATCTACTGCTCGAGGCAAAAAGAAATGAGAAAGCGCGTTCCTACACCTTGTACAAGAATAACCCAGGTCGTGCATCCTGTCATCCAGCGAAGAAGGAGACTAATTTATCGGAGAAAGATTGAAAAAAAAGGTCCTTGTCATTAGTTTATCTGACAATGCATTTTTTGTTCGTTTATTGCGCGCAAAATCTGATTCTTAAAAATACTATTTGAACTCACAGAAAAAATCTTTGCAAGAAGGGTATATTTTTAGTAATAAGCCTCACTAAAAAGGCGATTTCTTTTTAGCAAAGAGAGCTACACTGAATGATTCTCAGTTCGGGGAAAGTAATGATTTTAATTGAGTTTTTCTTTATGTTTGTTTCAGATAAGTAGAAATTTTTTTGTCCCCGTCTAACGGTCTACAAAGGAATTAGGCACAATTGAATTGAAATCTGTCTATGATTTTATCAAACATATAAAGCATTGACAATCCTGAAGGACTTGTATTGACATCGTCATATTCCCGT